CGCAGGAGACCGCCGCGACGAACGCCGAGAGGGAAGGCGAAACCTATCACTGGACACTGTCGAATTGGGGCGGTGGCATAACGCGAAGACGGAATAATTCTGGATCCATAAAGGTTGATCTAGCGTCACCGGAGGACGTCACCCTCGACACAGATACCACCAGAGTGATGTTCAGCACGTACGGAACAACCGTCTAAATTAAGTCCGCTGTTATACGCGCCGAATAAAACAATTATTTCGTTTCGCATTTATAGAAGATGTTAAAACAAAGAGAGAAAAGGAGAAAAAAAACTCCTTTAGCGAATCCGATCTTAGAAAGTAACTTTTGCCATTTAAGACGATGCAATGTAATATTAAATATTCACGTTATCCGCTCTCAATTAGAAGTAATACGGAACGATCGGTACATCATAATACAGATTAAACGTTTAATAATGTATTTACGATCCTAATCAAAAATATAAATTTGAAAGATTTGAAGACATTTTCGAAAGGAAAAGCATATTTATGGATTTAATTGCCCTATAAATACATACATACACGTAATCGAGTAGTTTCCAATGAATTACAATTATTTGTATTGTCACAAAATTTTATAGCGTGAATCTATCATATTCAAATTTTATCTGAAAATCTGTTAGACAGATATCACTCGCCGAAGCTGTCCCTTCGATATCGAAGCTCATAAACAGAATTTCGATTATCGGACGAATACCAGTTTAACGAGGAATATTGTGCAAGCGCAATGCAGGATTCCGAGATTTAAATATTACGAGGTCACGATTTTTAAAAATATATAAGAAAGAATTATATATACATACATATATATATATATATGTATATATAGACTGCGGTCCACTTAGAGCTTCAAACGCTACAGAGCATTTGTAGCACTGACATGACAGGTTCATTTAATACTTGGAACGCTCCTAGCAACTCTGATTACGTCATCATTTTTGCTCCCGCTTCGCTCCAACTGCCTCACCTCGGGAGGTGGGTTGGCTGGAGCGTTCGCGTAGCAATTGTAGCATTCGAAATAGTAATAAACCAATCGGAGCGTAGCGTTAGAAGCGTAACGTTCAGAGCATTTGGAAGAAGTAAGTGGACCGCAGCCCGAGAGAGAGAGAGAGAGAGAGAGAGAGAGAGAGAGAGAAGATATTCCAGATTTTAGCGCATCATGCAAGATTAGACGAGGTTTTTCTCTTTAATATTACGTTAATTAAAAGAAAATGCGACATTCATATTGATATACTGTATATAGATAGTTAATTGTATAAAAATAAACTTGTTAATATAATATTACTCCAGATATACATGCTCTCCGTTATTTATGACGAAGGCTAAGCGTCAACAGGCTGTAACAAAGAGGATATATGCTTACAATTGTTCAATCGTTTAATATTTAACACAACGTATTATAAGCATGCGCTTGCCGGCGATCATGTCACCCCGATTCGATCGAGCGGAATCGTAAAATTTCCGGCACGAAGCATTAGTTGGAGCGTTTCCAATTACGTTAACACTTTGCCGATCGTTCAAATAGATCGACCAGATTCACGATCCATCACTGAAGGACTAATGTCGATTTTATCAATGTAGATTTAGAGACTTTAATTTCGGTTTAATTTACTCTTTATCTTTCTCTTACAATTAGTCTTAGAATCAGAAAAAGACAAAGGAAAGTTAAACCCACAGATTTCTATAACTCACTTCAATTATTTTGCACGTGATAAAAAGAGATGAATATGATGTCAATAAGTCCTGATCTATGCCTACATATGCAGGTATACGTATATGTACAGTATGTGAGTATATGTGTTACGTGAGTAGGTGGGCATAGCAATCGAAATTATGAAAGATAATCTACAAGGTAGAAATCAACATTATTTTGCGCCACGATCTTTCTCTGTGACTTTTGATTAGTTTGAAGAAGCGGTACTAAAAGAAATTACAAAACAGAATTTTTTAAGACAATGCGGGTTACAAAAATCGTGTGGTGGTTAACGAGTCAGGGCATAACTCGCGCGGTTGGCAAATTGTTCAATGATGTAAATGTACAGCGTAAATCGATTAAACGCGACGCCTCGCGTGATCTACAAGGTACATGAAATGTCATACCATTTAAAATTATCTCATTATAAAACTATTACTATACTTGTAAAATATCGGTTTTTAATTTTTTTAACTGTGTGAACAGATTCTATTTGTACTTCATGGAAATTCTATTAGGTGTAGCGTTATGAGTCAAAATTGGGCGCACACATCGGTGAGATGGCGGATAACGCACCATTGACATAAAATGTTATAATCACAAGGGGAAAGTTGTATTACTTTTTACGAAAATAGAAAATGTGGTGTAGACCCCCTGAGACGTTTCTGCCCACATCGTGCAATTGTTTGTCTAAAGATTTATGTCGGAAAGTAATGATATAAGGGCGCATCTCCAAGAGATTGTGAAACAATTGTAATCAGCGATTATAATGAATTATCCATTTGAGACAATTTTTCAAGCTTTAGTAATTAATTCTATATCAGTTCTGTACCAGTTTTGTTAAAAATAAATGTGTAATATGTAAAGCAAATAGTATGGCATTTCGTGAACCATCTTGTATTTGACGAACGCGCCTCCGAGCACCCGGAAAGATACTTTATTGTTCTTCCAGCGTCTCTCTATATCTCAGTATATATTTTATTTTACTAATAAAACCGCGATAGATGTTAGTATGAAATCGGAGATCTCTCGATTCCGAATGGCGGTGAGCCGTGCGGTGGAACGGGCGAAATAAAAATAACAATCGCAAGTGTATTATCGAAACACTGGGTAGATACGGTGCAAGATAACGCAAGAATACGACAACGCGATACTGACTAACACCAACGCTACTCAGATTTAATAAAATTTACTGTAATACAAATTATGTTTCACTTAGCCCTGATCGATTTTGTTCTTCGACGTCGTGAGTCAAATCGAACGGTTTAAATTTAACCCTGAAAGAATGCTTCGAAGCATTTGATTGCAGATCAATTCATAAAATTCTTTCTTGTGATTGGTCAACAAAGTATTTGTAGCGTTAAGTGGATTGCACCCCTTGCTCAGAACCAACGAATCGACATTCGATCGATTTGCGCGAAGTTTCAATATTTCAAATAATATTCCAATCACGATGTAAGAATTCAAGGTATAATAGTATTGCACATAATGGCAATATTGGAAACAACCAATTAAATTTTGCTCAAAATTCACTCTCCTATTACCCATCCACGGGAATGTTTCACCTTGTATTCTTACGTCATAATTTCAATCCTTTTATTTTTTATCGTCACCTGACTTCACTCCGTCTAGAGCCTAGATAACAGAGATGCGACATTGAAGGGTATGGTCTGATTGGTTGTCTAAATCACGTGATCAGAGCGCCATTTTAATTCATTACTACGTATAATTAGAGTCCTAGGACTCTACGTATAGAGTCTAATAATGTATGTACGTATATATATAATGTGTGTACTATTAAGTACATACTATAATGCTGGATTCACCCTGCATCCGATTTGCGTCGTAACGACGCAAATCGGATGCAGGGTGAATCCAGCATCAGGTGGGAATCCGACACGTCTCAGCATGTTAATTAACCATGCGTTTGTATAGAAGACACTTTTCTCCGTTTAAATCGGATTAACGAGGTAATTTTTTATAATTTATGTATGTACAGTCAGTTAATAAAAGGTTGCAACACTTTTTAATTCGATGGTTTTCGGAACGCGCAAAAATTCTGACAGAGCAGCCCACCATCTCTGAATGTCTATAGTCGGCGGTTATGATAGATTACGAGGAGCTCCTTATAATAAGGGACTCCGCACAATAACAGAAACAGGGAACAGAGAACAGAGAATAAGAATTTCAACCTATCAGAAATCATGTATTGTGGAATGCAGAGGATGTATTCCACAATACATGATTTCTGATAGGTTGAAATTCTTATTCTCTGTTCTCTGTTCCTATTATTGTGCGGAGACCCTAACTACAGTATACGTTACGTGCCCTATAAATTTTCAGCATTGACAGTTATTAGGTTTGCACCAACCTGGGTTGGATTAATCTTTCCTATTGGTTGACGTCACCCGCTCTACCAGAAGGAGAGCGCAAAACGCCATTAATCCAACCCAGGTTGGTGCAAACCCGGCCGGGCCGAAAACGCTATTATACTATATATCGCTTCGTATCGTTCGAGATCTCGCGCGACGCAATCTCGACGAAGATTTGTGGATACGTTTAGCAAAGAAAGTTAATCAGTAATCGTTTAGTAATTTTCTTTAATATGATTGGTTCTTGCCTTTAGTTCTTCGCTAAATCTAAGTGTAGGAACCAATCGCATTAAAGAATCACTAAGCGCTGATTAGTTTTCTCTACTGCGAGTTATCGATTCTCATCGAGAGCGGGCCTTTCCCTACATATCCACCGTTGTACGCCGTTGGTACGATAAAATGAAAACATCACGGAGAGTATTCTTATTGTATTTCTTAACTCTCGCTTTCTACAAGTCAACCGTCAAGAGAAACAATAAGGAGTTTTTGAAATAACGTGAATTATCCTTTTTATAATTAGTTGTTACGAAGAAGATAATCTGACATGACCTCAGCATTCACCGTATCTGGATAAACGGTATTGCAAAAACTGCCTAATGAGCGCCAAGCGGTGTAGCACAGCGAAGAAAGTCGGTCACTAATGCTATGAGAAACTTGACTCTTTTCTTCGGAATCTCCCTCCTGGCGAGAACGGAAGGCGGATTTCCAAGAACGTTGAACGGCACGAAAACGCGAGGAATCGTGAGATTTCTCTATTGCGAGGAAATAGGAATTTAGCCGCGTGACTGCGTGTCGTCGGTCGTCATCTTCGTCCTCGTCGTCAACGTCGCGTCGCCGCGCCGATCACTCGACGTGGACGCCTGCATACGCGTGAATCAAAACATCAATGACCTTGAAAGCCGTCGCGTCACGTGACCGGGGCGAGAGAAGCGGCGATTGGTTAGCGGAGGCGGCGTACAACGTGTATTGCGTCGTGTCCGTCGCGCGGCTAGCATTCCTCGTCCAATAGAATAATAGAATTCGCGTGCGAGTCGAGGGGGAGCCGGGGGAGGACGAGGTGGACAAGAGCGAACCGCGAACGACGAGGACGACGACGACGACGAGGAGGAGGACGACGAGGACGACGGTGGCGGCAGCAGCAGCAACAGCAGCAGCAGTGGTGGCGACGGTGAACGGTAACGGTGATTGTGGCGGTGACGAGGACGAGGACGACGGTGGCGGCGACGGCGACGGTGATCGAGACGGTGCGCCGTGTTGGTCGGTGGCGTACGCCGTACGTGTTGTTAGTGCGTGTGTTCGTGCGCGAGCGCGGTTGGTTGGTGGCTCGCGTTGTTGTATCCAAGATGAAGTCCGACTCGAAACCTTTGTTGACAGCTCAGGCGGAAAAGGCGAATCATTACACGTAAGTAGCGGCCGGCCGGACCGCCCCGCCGAGGCCGCGTGCCCCAACCTTTGTGAGACCAAGTGTGTGCGTTAACTCGGCGCGCGATCAGCGATGGAGCGCGATGCTGCGTGCGATACTCTGCCTGCGAGAAAGAAGTAATAGCGAGGGGGAGAGTGAAAGAAGGGCGGTGAGCGAGGGAGCTGACGAGTTGGCCATTTCATATGCCGGGAAGTGCGCGGATCATCCCGAAAGTGCAGTGCGAAGAAAATTAATCAAACATATTGTGAGAGAGGGTGGATGGGTGGGAGGGAGGGAGGGGTTAAAAGTAGAAGGTAACGGTGCGGCTAGAGAGGGAACAGAGTGGGATAGAGAGAGAGAAGGCTGTGCGAACGTGAGAGTGAGAGGGGGAGAGAGTGAGCGAGCGAGAGAGAGAGAGAGAGAAAGAGAGCGAGCGAGCGCCGCGAGACGAACGCGGCCTATACGCGACTACGCGACTAACGCGACGCGCGCGTCCTACGATTCGCAAAAATACATGTATGAGCGATGAGAGAAAGAAAGAGAGAGAGATAGAGACGCGGCGGCGGCGGTGGCGGCGGCGGTGGTGAAGGCAGCGTGGTGGCAGAGGAGCGTGGCAATCTCCAAGTACGGGCGAAAAATAATGTCTAGTACGGTGGATTCGCATTCCAGATACTTGAAGGAGTTCCGCGTCGACCAGTGTCCCCTCTTCATACAGCGCAAATGCACGCAGCACCGACCGTTCACGTGTTTCAACTGGCACTTTATGAACCAGCGGAGACGCAGGCCGGTGAGAAAGAGGGACCGCACCTTCAACTACAGCGCCGATAATTATTGCACCAAGTATGACGAGACGACTGGCATCTGCCCCGACGGAGATGAGTAAGTTTCGTTCTTTCTTTGCCTCCGTCTCTTCTATTGCGCATCGCGGATCGCGGCGCCGGACGTAGCGACGTAGTACACATTCTTTTCGGTTTGTGCTGCTGCTTGTGCGTAAGAATGGATACGACGTGCGTCGTACGTGGATTCGTGGATAAGAACACGTAATGGCAGAGTGGATTACGACGCGATGATTCCAATTCGATGAAACGTCATTATCGTGGTGATATCGTTAAGTACGCCAGTATTTTTGTCGCATCGTAAAGTATACGTACGTGTGTACGTGTATGTTACATATATATAAATAACGTACATGTGTACGTGTACACGTAGCGTTGCTGTCGCGCGGCGTACGTGTCCCTCGCGCGCGCACGTACGTGTTTACGTTCCGACGCGCGTCCGCGCGACTCTTTCATCCCCCACGAAGAGAAACAATTGTTGCTCGGGTCTTCAGCGGGGATCAGGAGCGAGATATGGAAAAAGATACAGATACTGTACCGCAGAATTGTGTACTGCGTTCTTTTAGTTGGGTAGTCACGGCAATCGCGTGTTACGTATATAAGGGAGACTGGTTGTCAGAGTTTTTGATTTTTAGAGAAAAGTGGATGCCTGATTTTGAAATATTATGCTTACATCCTTTAGGTATTAAAAAAAATATTACTCGTGAATGCATCATATCGTAAAAATAAGTTGTTTAATTTTAAATAAAGCTGCGAAATTAATCCCGTGTTCTGCGTTGATTGTCACGTTCGAGGATTGGCAAAATACAATTTTTATTTTAATATCAATTCAATATTTTGAGAAATAATAGTAATTATGGTATTAATTCAAATAAAATGATTATTTTAATCATAAAATGCGTAATTTGTTTTTGTACCGTAGTTTCTGTATGAAAAATGAAAAAAATATTAGATCTATGTGAAATATAATATATTTGTACGTATATTCTCTAAAAATGTGTTCTCTAAAAAGATATTAAAATTAATTGTCCTAACTTTATCTCATTTTGGTCAATCTACCCCACATAGCCATTTTTAATAAAAGAGATTGTATAATATTCACAAATTTTAAGTAAATGGATAATGATTAATTGTAGCACAGATCTTCCAAGACATGTTATTTTCTATGAATACAGGGATATCGCGATTAATAGTGCCAAAGACTTATTAGACTACAATATAAATAGGCGATAAGAAAAATTTACTCGCCAACTTAATTTTTTTTAAATCATAAATAATATATACAATGCTTGTGGTGTAAATTATTTTACTCGACAAATTAATATTATATCAGCAATCTACAGTCAAAAAAAAATTTTCTGCCACATCCTGTTTAAGTTACAAATATTTTGACAATCAATATACCCGTACGTACGACAACCAACCCCGGTCTCCCCTACATGAATGAAAGTTTAAATCTGTTCTTTTTAGCTGTCAACTTGTCATTTTTTTCTTTTCTTCTTCAGTACAAAGAGAAAAGGAGGAAAGATGAGCGCTGTAAGAAATTCAGCTAAAAAGAACAGGCCTTGTATATTTTGCAATATAATTTCCGCTTACGACTCGGCTGGAGTGCGTTCTATTTGACGTTCACAAGCTCGCGAGCGTTATTTGTCTTTGTCTAACATTGATAAATAAGGATGAAATTATTTTAAAACGTTGCGTATGTCAAATGCTTACGTGTTGTAAGTTCAATGTTGCGTGTTGGATTTGTCAAAAGTTATTCTCATATATTGCGATTTTCTTGATATTTTAGTCGTAATTTGGATATTTCTTTGTATCTTCTTCCCAAAAAGTCCCTCAAAAAATTCTCCTTAACTGTACCGTGGAGTGTAGGGACTGCTGTTTTTATCTGAAATCAAAAATCCAAAGTGTGGAAACGTTAGTTAATGAATATACGCTTAGCATGAACCTGTTTTTAAATTAAAAAATGTAAAAATGAAAAAGTAGTGACATTCCAAAAAAAAGTTAAGACAAATGGTACCAAAAAAAAGCAATTGTTTATTTCAAAAATATTTGTGTAAAAACAGATTTATGCTGTGAAGATGTTAAAGAATATGTGTACTTAAGGAGAAGTTCGTTGTTTAAAAATTGTTTGAGCTACATGCCACGCCGCTCGAAAATTGTTGTTTCGAGAAAAACGCGTTTGAAGTTTTCGATACGGAAAAACATTTTTTGGAAACTTACAGCTGTTTTAATCTGCAATGTCCGTACATCAATACTTCTTCCTCAAATGTAGTAATAAAGCCGCCTGTTGCTCTTTTCGAGCAGTTCTGGCCCCTTTTGTGCTGTCGACGCGCGTTTACACCTGCGGGTACCGCTCGGCACAGCGCGCCGCCGCCACTAAAAGCACTAGCTGTAGCTAATCTTAAATTTTCGAATTCACTTCTGCGACTTCGAAATTTTGTTCTATATGTTACATACTATTGATTTGTGAAAAAAAATTTCGATTTTTTTCAACCTTCTATTTGACTTTCTCCCCCTTAAGACTTACTCTCAATAAAAAATCTTACATCAATACAATTATATCAAGATTAAAATTTTTGAAGCAAGATTGTAGTATTTTTGTTTATACATATATGAGCATATTATGGTAAAAAATCTTTCTGTGCACTATTTAAAGTCGTTATACAATGATTTAATTTAAGTGAATATAAAAGTGCAATGAGAATATTTCAAATTATAAAATCATATTTCACTTAACGGCATCATAAAATGTTTTGAGGATTTCACAGTTTTAATTCGTTTCTATGTTATCAAATACATATCTTTACGTTAATTTGTGCATGGATATTATTTGAAATAGATGCATTTTAAACGAAAATACAAAATGGAAAATGCCTTATTTTATATTTTGTATTTAAAATTTTTTCAGAAACCGTTACATTTCTATTTAAATGATTTTTATTACCTATTTTCTATTTGAAATACATTTATAGATTGGCACTAATAGTTCTAGCAGACTAACGCGATTAACGCCGCACGTGACGCGCGATATCTAATAAGCATACAACTTTTCTGAACAATTTATGTGCTCATTTGACATCGCTCATCGCGTGGTAGCTGTTAAAGCCATAAGAGTGAGTCCATGTCCGTGTCAATCACGTCTGCATTGTGTGGTGTCAGCCTTCTTCAAAAACTATGTAAATTTTTTATAAAAATTTATAATGATGAAAGGTATTAAGAATAAGAATTCAAATATGAGATAAACATTTAAAAATAGATAATATAAGAATATAAATATTTGAAAAACCATTTTCATTAAAAAAAAACCCTTTTAAAAAATGGCCATTTTCTATTTCAAATGGATGTCTAAACAATATTTTTTTTTTTGGACTTTATATTTTCAAATGAAAACATCACAAATATATTTTACATTTCCTATTTTAAATAATCGAATTCGATATGAGAAGTTTCTTATCTGTTTGCTTGTAATCCGAATCTGCAATATACCTATATAAAAAATACCTACATGTTACATTTAGAAGATTTAATAGAATAGTTCCGTTTCCGGTAGGGCGACTGGAAATTGAAAATATCACCATTCGATAAGAGTGTACTCGATCTACTTTATCAAAATTTTTAGGATTTTTCAGAAAAATCACTTCCTCTTATTTAAAAAAAAAATGTGATCTGGACCATCTCATGTATATTCACCTCATTTTAAATGCAAAAATTTTGTGAGATTTCAAGTAACGTTAACAGATCTATTCTCTCCAGGGCTGCCACTACAGCCTACAGCACGAGCAGTTCGTTTATAAATCGGAGACTCTAGAGAGAAAACAGATAGATCAATAATTTCATTTATCAGGCGCTTTCTAGAGTAGCATGGAGTTCCTAGATAAGAATCTGATCACACACTATTTTATTACAAAACTAGCTCAATGGTTAGGACTCTTTAGGGATTCTGGAGTAACATCCTCTCAAGCGCTAAAAATATTTATACAAATATAGGATATAAACGAATAAATACAGCAATATAAGAAAGATTGCAAAAATAATATGAAAAGGAATAACTGTTTATTGAGCGATTTGAGATGACATCCTCTCAAAATAAACATTACAATTATAATCATAACAAGCAAAAGTCTGTGAGTATCAATGAAGAACTCGGATGTAAAGAGGTGCACAAAAATAAAAAGAAAAAAAAAGAGAAAGAAAAGGGGAAAGAAGAAGCAGAGACACGTGCTTCGTCTCCTCGTTTTTGTTGGTCCTTGACACATAACGTAAGGTACATATAGGTAATGCGCGGTTCTTGCCTGCGCCAGAATGTAAAAGATGCGACGTGACATTTTTGGTCACCAAAACAATGTTTCTCCGACATAAATTCCTTCCTGATAATAATATAATACTTGATAATCCCATGACAATAAACCCTTCTCGGCGAGAATGCGATCTGGTGTTCTCGGTCATGGCGCGAACTCTTAGAAGTAACTTTTTTTTTCTTTGTGATCAGAATTTCTTTGGGATCTCTTCGATTTCAAAATGGAGAACACGTCTATCGGTAGTTTACAGTATCGATTATACATTCCGGCGTGCCTTTTGCCCGGAAACAATGACACTGTAACATCGCGTAGTTAATTCCGCACTTTACGCATAAATTAACATACATGTTTAACGCCTTGTATCCACGTTTTGTAACTTTGTTTCCATACAGTAAATACTTACACGCGCGCGCGTGTGCGCCTGCACCGAAATACGCACTCAAACTGCATAAACAGGTGGACATTTACAATCAACAACATTCTACAGATTACAAGTCACGAACGATTCGTTTTTTAAAATTACAAGAAACGAAACGGCTCGATTTTCATTTGTTGAAATCGAATAAACTTCGCATACGTATACTTATATAACAATTAATTTCTCTAGTCTCTTCACGGAGAGAATTTTCTTTTAAAATTTACCCTGAAAATATGGTGATTGTGGTACAATACAATATTTTAAAGATTTTTACCATACACTTCAGTAAAATTGATCAAACTTATTTTATACTTTATTGTAGTTTTATTAATGAATAAGAGAGATTTATATTAAAATTCTTCGAAATACAATGTTGTCCCACGATTGTCATATTTTCAGGGTAAATTCTAAGAAAAAATTCTCTCCGTGTTGTGTTTCTTTGTGTAAGCGTCATACACTGAAAAAAAAATTTGTTCAATTAAATAAACACATTTAGTTGTTTACAGATTTGGTTAACAAATTTTATTTAATCGAATTCACCGTAGTCTGCTTAACAAATTGTTTAATGTTAACGAACTAAATGTGTTTGGTTAGTTGATCAAATTTTTTTTTCGGTGTAGTAACAATTTTGCAAGAATATTATGGAAAGATCGTATTTCTATATCTTCGATTTTACGCAGATAATATCATCGCGTGAGATTTAAATGATGGTTCATCGATATCCTTTAAATTGATCGCAAATTATTTTTACAACTGTGGACTTTTATTGCTCGGTATTCGACGTAAGGTGATTTTTCATTGATGAGCAATTGTCCAGGCTCACATTGTGTGAATTTCTTTCCCCAAATTCCCAACGTTAGTTGACGAACAAAGGAAGCCTACTCTTATCGATTTTCCTTCTTGGAAGGAATGATGACACAACAAAGGATCACATATGTATCTAAACCTTATTCGGATATTGTTAATATATTTGTTGTATTTTTTAATTATTTTTAACTGATTTTTGTTTTTTTTTATATTTTTTTTAACTTTAGGAAATTATTTGTGTTATTTTCTTTCGACATATACATGTATAGTTACATTTTGAAAATTTATTATTCGTAAGTCCGCATTAAGAATAAGAGAAAAAACGGAATATACTGAAAGAGTCTAGGGCACACATTAAATTTAATATTACTGAGGATTGCGAGTGTGACTGTTAATAATTGGAAGAAAAAAAGAGAAGAGCGCACAAAAAAAAGTGTAATGTTTTGTTAAAGCTTAAGAGGATCCTAAAGACGATTAATCGTATATAGCACTTACACACAGACGATTTATGTGACATTGACACATCACTACATCAATCTCACTCACGCCACACATCACATAAATTTTCGTATAACAATTACGTTTTAATTAGAAGTTTAAGTCCAATTATAAAAATTCCATGCTGTTTCTTCATGCAAACTACTAATCTGTAGACTACTATTTTGAAAGTACAGATTGCACAGCTTTTACATGAAGCAAACATTGTTGACGACGTGATAGCTCTGCCATATTGAACTAATTGTAAGAAGTGATAAAGAATTTCGAAATTTTTAGTCGGTCTCAGCATAGACGCCATCTCACCGACACGTATTAATGCGTATGCTTTAATCCTGGAAAAGAATTTTCAAATCAGTAAGAGAGGAAAAAAGTAATTGTTGTACGGTTAAAAATTATATGGTTCAGTCGGTAATACAGACGAATTTAGGATCCCCTTAATCGAGGACGTAAAAATGTTATCTTGTTAAACACAGGTGTCCGTTTCTGCATCGTACCGCGGGTGACACAGAGAGACGTTATCATCTACGCTACTACAAGACATGCATGTGCGTCCACGATACCGACACGCGTGGATTTTGCGTGAAGAATGGCCCGCATTGCGCTTTTGCGCACGGAAATCACGACCTGCGTCCGCCCGTGTATGACATCAAGGAGATCCAGGCGCTGGAGAATCCGGACTCGGACCCAAACTCCTCATCGAATGGGCCTAACATACTCGACAAGGAACGTAACTTGATGAACGAGGATCCAAAGTGGCAGGACACGAACTACGTGCTAAGCAACTACAAGACCGAGCCGTGCAAGAGACCACCGCGGCTATGCCGGCAGGGCTACGCCTGTCCGCAGTATCACAACAGCAAGGACAAACGGCGCAGCCCACGGAAATATAAATATCGGTAAATATCGATATCGAAATTAATCAGTTGACGCGGACGGCGCCGGCGCCACGTCGGGAATAATGCCTAAATTATGATGTTTACTATCTGGAAAAACTTGGGAAAACCTGAAATTTTTAGAACATTTTTTTTATCCTTAGTTATTATAAAATGGAGGATTTTCATGGAACTTTATTGTCACTCGAGTTTTTAGAATTTTATTTTTAAATTAAAATTCTATCTTTCTGAAAACATTGGCCATATTCAAGTTGGACGAAAGTGCTTACTTATACAGCCGAGTGATTAAATCGATTGAATCTCCTGGTAAGTAAGAACCAATCATGTTCAATTGTTCGGCGAGCAGACTAGCAGGCTAGCTGCTTTGTCAGCTTGAACACGCTTATTATTTTCTTTAATCATTTTTTCATGATGCTAAATGTCGACAATCGGTTAGCATGGTATATTGGTATACATACCCGCATATAATCCACATACATTCTCGTGTCTCGCGAGTTTTTATTTAAAAAATTAGTGTGAGGTAGTAGAAGATAATACTCTGCAGAAGAGAATAGCTCACTGATACTACACTGAGAGAAAAATCTACTAAATTTTAATAAATAATTGTTTGAATAGTACTAATATAATATTTATTTATGGAAAATAAATATAATAATTGGTAAATCAAATTAATGATTCTTGTATGAAATAAATATATGTTTACATTTAGTAAATATTCAACTGGCACTATTCGAATAATTATTTACTAAAATTTAGTACATTTTCTCTCAGTGTATATTATAATGAGTCTCCTCTATCCTATTATAAAGTTTCGTGGCTCCAATTGTATAAAATGATACAATATATACATACATACATATAACGAATTCGATCGAATGCACTACTGAATGTAAATATATATTTCATTTTATAGAGTACATATTTTACTCAACAGCATAATAAAATATATTGAGAATTTCATAGTTTGAGCTTTGACTACATTTTTCAAGTGTTTTAAAATGATCTTATTACTTTGTTTTAAATTCTCTTTGTTTATAAATGATATATGCAAGAAATTTATCGTGTCATTTCTTACGTATAACGTCATTATTCAATATAGCCGCGACGACTACTCCGGAGCTTAATCAATTTTTATATTTACATTAACTACATCTTTAATTTTTGTGCGACAACTTTAACATGCACCACTACACATTACGTGTATCCAATCGAATTCGTCAATAGTCTCGTGGAATCTACTAATTTATAATATATGGTTTGTTTACGTTACTCGCATTCCAATTTATTTCAAAGTTGCATTAAAAATTTGTTTAATCTTACCTGGAATTTTGAATAATATTTGGAAAAGAAACTCCGGGAATTTTCAAGAAGTTTACATTTTTTTTACAAGATTTCAGAGTATCCTATAAATAATCCCATTATCTTGTAATATATCCCATAAATGTTAACGATGATTGCAGCTCAACGCCATGCCCGAATGTGAAACACGGCGAGGAATGGGGCGAGCCGGGCAACTGCGAACAGGGAGACGCGTGCACGTACTGTCATACTCGCACGGAACAGCAGTTCCACCCTGAGATCTACAAATCCACCAAGTGTAATGACGTGCAGCAGGCTGGTTACTGTCCGCGTGGCGTCTTCTGCGCCTTCGCGCATGTTGACCGTGAGTGTACACTCATCAATCGTACGTAAAACAGTCTTATTATATATTTTGTGAGTTCAATATATTGTGCATATATGGCGATAGATATGTAGAGTTTACATACGCGTCTACCTGGCTGTTCCGCGACCGTCTGTGACACGGTCACAAAACGATCCGTCGTTCTCTCCTCGACGCGGCGGGTGCGAGCTCGCATGCTAATACCGTGATATCACGGTCGTTCACTCGCGAATCCTTTTCGCGAATTACGTTTGGAATACACGTAGAGAGTCGATAATAAATGCTAAATCTTAGCCGTCAAAATTGTTTCTCAAAATTGATATATTGGGACGTTGGTATGGTGTGTTGATGGAAGCAGTGTTGCCAACAGAAGAAATGAGCCTGGCGAGGGATATGGCGGTACCTATAGATTGCGGAGCGAATCTGGCCGACATACTCAGCAACGCTCTTCCTCCTGACAAGCGCTCGCACGACAAGGACAAGCCACTCAGTGACAGTAGCGTGAGTCTCGATCCCCTCTACACATCGTCGTAGTTTCAAGGACTCGCATAGGATTAGATAAAAAAAAAATTGGAATAAAATAGCGAATTTGCTTGTCAAATTGATAGAATTTAATTTATATTATTTAATTTTTATCACAAAAATTTTAAGATGGCACTTTCATATCATGCGTTGAAATATCATCGCTTGACTAACTTGCAGAATGGAAGCGGTGAAGTTTCGGAATCCGCCAGCACCAGCAGTTTGGGTAGTAACAGCTCGCACAGCAAGGCGCCAGGCGCTCAACTACACAATTCCAATACCAATTCCGGCATAAATGCGGCCGCGCAGCAGAAACTTACGAGCATACTTTACAACCCTAGTTCCCTTATACAAGTTGTAAGTTTTGTTTTCTGGACTTAATACTGTAGGCCGCAGAACGATATGACGATACTTTTGAGAATGAATTTAGAGTAAGAGACGAAGGACCGTTAAGGTTTCGCATGAGCGTAAATAAAGTTTAGATGCAATTAATAAATTATAAAAAAAATTAAGTGTACATGTACGGGGTGTCTCGAATTTTTTGGACACCGTTTGTCGACAGTTAGAGTAGACTAAACTGAGTCGAAAAGTTCTCTACCATTTTGCAATTTTTGTATTTTTTTTCAGTTATCTAATGAACAAAACGTCTAAAATTGACATCTGAGACAACTTTAAGATATCTTTAAAAGTTCTTTAAGAAACATCTTTAAGATTCCTATTTTCTATCGGTTGTGTTATCACATGTACGGTCTAATAAGATTCTTACTGTTTATATTACGTCGCCTGAAGGAAAGACGTTGTTTCCATACATATACTGATTATTATGAAGAATGTTATTAAGGCCTTAGTGGTCTAAAGGTTTAGGATGCTCGCACGGAATGTTAGAGATCCGGGTTCGACTCCCAGCCGAGGTAATATTTATCGCAATAAATAAATTTATTTACAGATTTCCAACGTATTAAGACTCTGAGTAGTCGCGGTGGTCATGTTGGAATCATGATGTAATCACGAAATCTTTCATAAGCGTGAAATGACACGTTGATTTTTCTTGCGTGGTATTTGTAAATAAAGAGAAATTGGATGAAACAAAATGATGAGATCACTTCAAAAAGGTTGTGAAAATCGGAGAAGACTCTCCTTACCTTCCCTGACAGTCAATAAATAATCATAAAAGGCACGTAAAGTAAAGGCTTTTTCAGCAGGAAACACACGAATTGAGCTGTTGAAAGTAGTGAAAAATATGCTTTTATGTATAAAATTCCAGGATAACTTGAGTCTCCATTGATTTTTACGATTTTGATAAGTATAAGACAGGTCACAGTTTTATATATAAGCATTTAATAACACGCAAGAAAAAATTTCGACGTCAACACGTTACTTTTCACGTCTATAAGTTTAATTATTTATCATGGCGAGGCGCCGTAACACACAAGCACGAGCCCATGTACATGTGCTCGCCTTCGGCGTACCGAGAGCACCGAACTACCGGTTTCGTCAGGCCGCCGTCTGATTCTGTGTCGCCACCGTCAACGCAGAGTTCTTGGCTGAGTATTCAGGAACCTTAAGATCTCTTTTAACAGATGCCTATTCAGCATCAAAATTTAATTGTGATATTACTTTAGTAGTTTAGTTGTGTTTTTAAGTCGGAAAAAATAATTCAGCGCACAGTTTAAATATGATAAATTACATGCACATATACATATATATATATTGTATATAATAGTATATACAAATTCACATTGAATTATTTAAGCATTAAGACAATGTTAAAGCCTCCTGTTTTATCCATACAATTTACATTTCCATTCGGTGAAAAATCCGAATTGGATTTACGGATTGCAAAAGTATTATTACATAAATTAAAGTACGCACAAACAGGACCTCGGCTGTACTGGATTTCATGAGAAAATCGAAAAAAAAGTTAAAAAATTCACTTTGGGCTTGTACAGCTGTTACCTCAGATAACTCAGATATAGTAGGCGTATACACTTCGCAGTAACAGGCCGAGCGGGCGCGCGTATTCGGCTATCTTTAAACGTTAATATCTCGTCAACTATTGCTGATACTGCAAAATGGTACAGGACTTTTCGACTCAGCTTAGTCTGTTCTACCCACGCACGAAACATTTTACGGTTTTTGCCTGATACCTTGTATGTATATTTGCTTGATATAAAAGTTTTAAGAGTCCATAATCCCTTAAAGATATTTTTTTAATTGCTTAGGAGCTTTAATCTTTAGAAATTAAATCTCGTTAACTATTGCGAAAACTGCAAAATGATAGAGGACTTTTCGGTTTAGTTTAGGTCTACCTGACCACAAGCGGTGTGTCAAAAAGTTTGAGACACCGTGTAAATGTATCGTATTAAATGTAAAATAATCGTATTTATGTTACCTTGTTTTTATTCTGGATTCTAAATTTATTTTCTGTATTATTGGCATAGAAAATGTTCCAAAATTCACGACTCGGAATACTGTAACAAGACAGTTCTCGAAAAATTAAGTAAAAAAATCATTTGTAAAATTTTATTTTAAACAGTTTTTGAGATAGAATTTAAATGTGATCGATTGTATAGATTATCTTTACACACAATTATTAGTGAGTATTAGGATAGTCTGCTCACACACTAAGGCTTCATCTATAATAATCGCATAGTCTGTGTTACAGATCGCAAGCTTATTGCGACAGCCAATCTGATGCATCAATATTAGATTATTATAAATAAGATCTAATATTACACGCACGATTCATAGATAAGTGGCCGTCTAAACGTAATCTACAATTAACTATATTTAAATTCTCATCTGGTCTATCGTATCTTAAAAACTGCTACTTAAAACTGCTACTTAAAATAAAAATTTATAAATAACTTTTGAGAACTTTCTTGCTGCAATATTTTGAGTCGCAAATTTTGAAAGACCGTATAATTTAAGATTATATATGTACATAATATGTACATATATATCGTATATCGTATATATGGATTATATGATATGATTGATATTCATGCTCTTGATGTTGATTTCGATAGAATGAAATTCGAAAGCAAATGGTCGCCATTGACAGCGATCCGTTATTAACTAAAGCTGAAAAGGCCCAACAGAAACATAGTCTCTACATTGCGTACAATTTGAACGGGACATTAGGCAGTCACTCATTAGCAACTACTGTTTCACCACTTTCAAATTCGTTCTACTCAAACGATACTGTAGAATCTGTAGTAGGTAAGTGTATACGATATTATTCATGTTTATTTATTATTTATGTTTACATGTTGTACAATAACTAACACTATTTGATCCCTTTTTTTCCTCAGGAAATGCATTAGACGAGTTACATTTAGACGATCCGTTAAATTTAGTCGATTCAATTCATAGGGATACAAATTCACCGATTGGTAATTCAATATCGGCAGGCCTAGCTAGCTCCGGTCTACTCGGTAGCTCAGCCCCAGTCAATATACCGGGCATGGCTGAACGTTCAGTTCTCACCAATTTTTCGCCATCGACGTCGAGCCCACTTCAACAATTACAGGCTGGTTTTCTCACTGGATCAAGATTCTCTCATCAAGATTCTATGGAATCCGTAAGCTGATTTTATTTCTGTCTGCCGGTGAGAAATATCGAGTTGTTTTACTAACTTGATGTTCTGTTCGGATTACTTTCAGACATTGCCATTTATGAATCAGATATCAGATCCATTTAGCAATCACATTTCGCAACTTAGCAGCTCGGCTTCTAAGCTTAGTGGATTCAATAGTAGTTTATTCGATTTTGCGAACCAAGGAATGTCACCGTCGCGTACGCAAGCCACTCTACCGGCATCTCCATTGGTCAATACATTTTCCATTAGTCCAAGTAACACAGGATCGTTGTCCGAGGTTAGAATTGCACGATCTTAAAGAGTTTCTCTCGGATGTACTATCGAAAATGAGTCTCGTGATGTATCGATTATATATAAATATATAGGGACGAGCGTATTAATCAAGCACGCGCGGCTTGCGCGGCATGGCAAATGGAAAGCGAGGAGGCGAAGAGGAAGGCGACCATTGCCGAACAACAAAGAGACGAGGTGAATATTTCGCCTAACTTAGTGTGATTCTTTCTCTCGATATTAAAATCTCAATTTGCCGTGCTCCAGAGAAGGGATTTTTTACAGGCACTGAAAGCACTCAGAGTCGAAAACAAGGCGTCCAATGGCGGTCCGTATCTCCATTCACTGAGGAAAATAAGCGAGCTCAGATCATTATCGATAGCGACCTTGAAATCAATTCAATCGCAATTACGCTCGGATCTCGAAGAGGTGGAAAAGGTAAAAGCTCTTGTTGTCATCATTAATCAAAACAAGTGTCAATGTCTTTCAAGCGAATTGGTATGACTACAAAAATAATAGAATACATATACCTTGTCATTATTATATTGTCATTATTATATTGTCAGGTGCTGTACAGAGAAACGGCAACAAAGTGCATGGTTTGCGAAGAACAAAATCGTACAGTTACTCTATCCTGCAATCATTATGTGGTCTGCTCGACATGCGCCCCAAATCAGCGCGAGTGTCCATACTGTCAGACTCCAGTTGTCTCAACAAGTTAAACCCAAATCTTTCCTTAGAATCCTGTTGTTACATTTTCTGCTTCTTGTCCCTTAAAGAAAAAAAGAATGAAGAGGCGATAGCAGCCGCAAATTCTGAAAGAATATCATGTGAGTAGTATTACGATTTTGCAAGGACTTGTGTATTTTTACTCTGGTACAGTGACAAAACTGAAAACACGTTTTTTATCGCGGTAAGCATGTACCCGCAAAAATATGATTGATTTATCGCCAAAGTGAGTACGAATATGATTAGAATCTTTATTGGTGTAATGTTAAATTACATTGACATTTTTCTCTCTCGATATACATACATACACATATATATATATATATATTCAGTGAATATCACAATTTTTTAAATGTAACGCTCTCTGAAAAGTAGCGTTAACGACCCTAAAAAAGAAAAAATAAAGATGTTTTATTTTATACATAATTCAAGAGATAAATATCTAGCAGGGTGTTAACTATACACATTTAGCGTTTATAACGCAAATATATGCGGGTTACAGAACATTTAGCGCGCGAGAACAATATAATCGCAGTTGTGGACAAAGTTTCGGGACCTCGAAAACTATATAATAATTGTTTAAAGAAAAATTAATAATATTAATAAACGCAACAAAAAAAGTCTCCCACTTGCATTAAAAAATAATGGGAGGATTTTTTCTCGATGATTGAGCTGTGAAACGTATGTCACAGAAAAAATGATATTTCTATTATATTTAAATCTATATATTTAATAGGATTTTCCAATTGATTCGTACTGAATGTAATAATATAAGTATTAACAAATTTTATATTTTTCGTTGAAAACCTAATATTGAAGATATACATATTATATAAGAGGTGTGTATATGTATATGTATTATTATATATGTATATATACATATATATATGTACACACATATATATTATATAATTTCTAGGTTTTTATATATCTAATAACAAAGATTTCTCATATAGTTATAAAGAATATGGGAATTTACAAAACAACCGATATAATTAGATAGCGCTAAAACAATTTTATTATATGAAAGGTATTATATATATATATATCGTTTGTTTCTCTTTTTTTATCTATCGATGTTACTACCACTTATTTTGTTTTCTTATCTTTTTCTATCTGTTCTGCCTTTCATCTCATTCATTAGATACATCGATGCAGTTTGTTGAAAAACATTTACACTTCAGATATCGATCGAAGTTTACAATGATGAATATTTTTAACAATTTTACGTAAAATACGCTTGCTTTCTTTCGTTCTGTAACGTGGCTTGTACACGTTTCATATTTTCTGTAATACAATTTACTTTTAGATCTTAAATATGCTTAATTGTGTACTAGTATTTGCGATGGAGTTATTAGAAAACATTTAAATTAAATAGTGTGTGATAGTAACGAAGAAATTAATCTTCAATCAATTATTCAATTAGATTACTGAACCAATTACCCTCATTTCGTGTTGTAGGCTTTTACAATTATAGATGTAAGGATGTTAGAGATACTTAGGATTTTTCAATTTAATCAAAAAAATAACTCATATAAATAAATAAATAAATAAATATATATATATATATATATATATATATATATAAAAAGATATAATGCATACACAAGTCAAACGTGACATACGTGTTACAGTTCAGTAGCATGCTAGAAGTATGCTAATTAGGACGTGTGTCAAGCACGTCTTATGTACCCGGCTCTATGCGTATATTCATTTTAATGATGTAGTTGTTAAACTCTATGATAAAAAAATGACTATACACTCACACATGATGAGAAATATATATATATATATTGCCTAAGATATAAACGATTATAGGATAGATAGGACAGCATTATCAAATTTTTTCCTCGTATAGACATGAAATGTTACAATAATCAATTTTAAAGACTACTTTTATTTAATATACATACATGTGTAATTACGATTTTGAGAATTATGAAATTATTATTAAACTCAAATTTAATACCCCGCACAAAACATCTAAACGATACTTTTACACGACTCGTAAGACATTTATATATATATATATATAAGTTGTTATTGTTTTTTGCTTTCTCATTTATTTTTTTTTTACCCTTTCAATTACTTTCATAGTTTAGTGTCAAAAAGTGAGGCCAAAAAATAAATGAATGTTTTTATTATGTCAATTTTTTATTGCAGATTATTAATATTAAAATATTATAAATGTTATTTAAAAAGAAAAATTACAATTTTCTCTATTATGGTATATATGGTCTAAAGATTATAGTATTTAAAAAATTATGCTACAATAGAGAGAATGACGTAGAGATATGTAAAAATTACTGAAATAAACTTTTCTTTGATGTGCTTTACATTCTTAATTAGATTGAGGATATAAGAAGTAATTTTAGAAAGATAGAAAACTCATTCTTTTCATTGTCGACGTTTTTAAGATCTTTCTACAATATCCAGGTTTTCTCCTTTTATTTCTTCTCTTTTTAACTCTTCCGATTGATATAATGTTGCGGTTGATATAATGTTGTGGTTGATATAATGTTGGTCTCATGAGAGATCTCACTTCTAATAAGTAGACGGCATATTTTAATTTTCTTAAAGGCCGCATATACCATAACACCATATTCAAAGAACTATTTAATATTTAAGAGAGAAAGATTATAATAATGCATTTTTTTCTTGCGTTTATTCAAACGCATTCTTTATAAGTACGGGAATGTTATAACATCGAGATATATTTATTTCCTTATATCTTTCCTCACACTGTTAAAAAAACAGAAATTTGCTTCCGTTGTAACGGAAGCAAATTTCAAGCAGGTACATTAAACATATTTAATGTTGTCAATGAAAATAAAGTTATAAGTAACATAAATTTAACGTTTACTTATATTAAATTTCATGTAAATTTACATAAAATTTAATAAAAAATGTACTAAACTTCGCAAATTTTTATAAAAAGTACACTAAATTTCATGTACATGTACACAAATATACTTTTCAGTTGCAGATACATTAAATTTAATTTAGTGTCGTAAAATTGGATTTAATTTATGTAACTTAAAAGTACATTAAATTTCATGATTTTTTAACAATGCACATCCACTTGGCATATTTTGGCACTGTTGCGTGTATATAAACGTTAGTTTTATTATTTATTTAAACAAGAACAAGATGTCAGCAATTAATGAACTACTTTTAATGTCTCGATTTTCATATAGCTAGCTTCATATAGCTATTTTCATACACCAAATGATTGAGAAGATAAATTTCCAATTGAGATCTATGAACTAACAATAATTAACATGATAAATAATCACGTTTATTGTAGTTTTGAACCGAATTGTTGAAATCATCGAAACTAGTACTTATAAAGAATGCGATTTCTTTTTCAATAATATTTCGCGATCGAACTCTTCCTTCTACAGTATTTATATTTAACAAAATGTTACAAATAATGGGATCATATTCGGATTATAACAGTTCTTTGTATACACAGAGATGCGAAAGAATCTTTTTCATTTTTGAATAAGTGGAGGAAAGTTACGATCGCGTTTTATGGAACGTTTAGGAAATCATATTCCTAAATAATAGGATTATATGAATATTACAAACAATTACAATATATTGTACTATTTTACTTCTATAACAATTAAATAACATAATTAAAAATATAAAATATATTAAGAATATAAATTATTGTGAAAGCAACAAATTTAGCTACAAAATAGAATAATAGGAGAGTAACAAAATGGATGATTAGCTAATATTATCGTAACAAAGAAAACATACAGTTGAATATTTATATACTACTGTCCCCGTTGTTGGTTTCATCAATAATCTCGCACATTTTGGAGCATTTTGATGACATGCGCGTGTATCATCGTTATACGTTCGATCATTATCAATCGTATCTAAAAATCAAGCGTTTAATTGGATCAATTTAATAATAACAATTGGTTCTCATATACTATCGTAGAAATAAAGAAACATACTGTGTCGATAATGAAGGTATATATCGAGCAGCAAAATTCCAAGTCTGTGTGAAGTACCGTTGATATTTCAAGCAGTGTCCGTTAAATCTCAAACAAATCGTTTTGAAATTGAAATCTCAAAATCCTGCTGAAATGCTTGCGAATGCAGCTTTCCAACTTGGAACGCGTTCAACTGTGTTTACTTCGACTGCACAAAGAAAACCAACAATAGGGCAAAATTAAATTAAACACTATATTTTTGACAAGTTACAATAATAATACCAATTACAAAACGTTATATGCTCCGTCCTGTGTAAATGATTTCTCCTCTGCGTTGCAAACGGAGGTCGAATCACATTGTAATTGCGTTTGTTTGTGCACTAGTTGAAAATATTATGATGTGCCCGTTGCACTCTGCGTAAATTACGCGTGAGGCAACGTGCGACGGGCAAGCAAGAATTCGAGAGCATCGGGGAGAGAAATTATCATCACGGTTCGGACGAGAAAAAAAACACACATAATCATTAGAATATTGTATAATAATGAATTGCGTAAAAAATTGTAATATCTAAAGGAAATTTGCTGAACATTTATATCACGATTTGTAACTAAAGGTACTTGCTATAGACCTGTGTCGTCCTTAATCACTCGTAATTTTGATATAACAATTACTGCATTTGTTATTTTGATAATGGCATGGCTGATCCCTGACATTAGATATCACGAAAATCTCTTCGTTGATTCGTAGCGAGATGTGTGTTCTTGTTTGCAAAAAAAAAAAAAGGAAAAACGTTTGCTCAATGTCCACGAAAACTTTCGGGACATTCCTTATTGTCCCACGAGAACCGATTATCAGTAAAAATACAATTGCCGTGACTCGCATTATTATGATTATTATACAGTTTATAATCTTTGAAACAATTATATACATGTTACAGATTCTTTGAGATATCTCAACATTGTCTAGATTTATAGGTCAATTTTCTTCGTATCTATTTGAGTTGTCGATTAGTCAATTATGGAACGGTCAATTACGTTACGATTATCATGATATTATAATATTCTTAATTATCCTACACTGTTAGAAATGTTCTTAAATTTCATTAACATTTAATGTACACTGTTAAAAATTTTATGAAATTTAATATACTTTTACACAATTTGAATTTAATTTCATTACATTACATTAAATTTAATGTATTTATAACTGAAAAGTATATTTGTGTACATGTACATGAAATTTAATGTATTTTCATAAAATTTTATGAAATTTAAAATGTACACGTTTATTACATTTAAGTAACTACTGTAATTTAATTTTCAGTTAAATCATTCATTACTTTTAATTTCGTTCATAACCACGAGCTTTATTTACATGTAAAGGAAATATTTCTAACAGTGTATGTATAAATTACAATTATTACAATTAATTACAATTATATTTGATTTTTATTAGAGTGCAGTAATGGCCGATACAAGCTTACATGACCTGAATTCAGGCTTATTTGTTAAAGACACGAGGTAACAAATGGCTGTACAATTGTGATCGCGCTTATAATTAGATTAAATCGTTTGTATATCATTTATCAGTATGTTCTCTGTAGAATCATAACTTCTGCCACAAGTGTACAATAATGATGAAAAATTTTCACGTT